TCAACCACCAGGTCAAATTTGATGAACTTTTTTTTATTTGAATTCTACAAATATGCAGAATTCAAATAAAAAAGAATATTAAAATTTGACCTGGTGGTTGATAAGATAACTTCACTCAAAGTTTAAGAAACCCAAAACGTCTATAAAAATAAAGCTGCACCAACCTTTTTTCCCAAACTTTGAGCGAAGTTATTTCATCAACCACCAGGTCAAATTCAATAGTCTTTTTTTTATTTGAATTCTACAGTTTTGTAAAATTCAAATAAAAAAAATAATTAAATTTGACCTGGTGGTTGATGAGATATCTTCACTCAAAGTTTAAGAAACCCCAAAACATTTATTAAAATAAAGCTGCATTAACCTTTTTTCCCAAACTTTGAGCGAAGCTATCTCATCAACCACCAGGCCAAATTCAATAATCTTTTTTTTTATTTGAATTCTACAAATCTGTAGAATGCAAATAAAAGGTTTGATCAAATTTGGGTTGGTAAGTGTTGAGATATCTTTGTTTAAAATTTTAATTTAAGTGTCAAAATTGTATATATATGCAGATCAGCAAATTTGATTGGCCCACGGCCCTAGATCACATGACAAGTGAAAATCACCCAGATGAAAATAAAAATACCCTAAATCAGTGTTGTACATGGACACCGTCTACATGACTTACTTGGATATTGGACAATGTCCAAATATGTCCATATCATATTCGCCATATGTCCAAAAATATAGATTGTCATCGGACATCATCCGTGACATGTGGACATCGGACAATGTTCATGGACATGTCTCGTGGACAATGTCTACAGCTTATGTCCAAAAATATAGATTGTTATCGGACATCGTCTGTAATATATGGCGGACACCGGACAATGTCTGCATTCATGTCTACAGACATGTCCAATTTTGTGAAACATTATTACTTGTAAAAAAACTGTCAACTACTTATTTCTACTAATGCCGCTTATACTTATTCGCTTACTGTAAATACAGTATGTACTGTATATACAAGACCCAGATCTATTTATTCTATCTATTTTTATATAAACCCAGGTCTGGTACATGTTAAATACATACATGCTTTATATCCTGAGTCAATTGTTTCGAAGATTCTATGGTTTGCACAGTTTTAATTTAAAAGTTCATTATTTTTAGAGATCTTGTATAAGCACTTTTATAGTATTACTTTATGTACGTGCTTAAGTTTTAGAATCATTAAAATAAGAATTACTGAAGCCAAATAAAATATTTTTTAAAAAGTTTAACAATTTTAGTATATTGACATATGACTATATTTTTTTATTCATTTACAAACAAAAAAAAACTAACTGCCGCTAAGTCTTGCCAAAAAAAATCAGGAATTTTTGATTTTCTAGCATTTTACCTTGTATAATATAAGTATAACAGACTTTGAAATTCAAGAATTTCTGATTTTCACACGAAAACGTCTATTTGCATAATGCTACAGTCAACCCTCCATAATTGCACTCTCCATTAATGCATATTGAAATTCAGACTTAAACTTCCACAAATGCACACCTCTATAATTGCACATCTCCCTGACAGCGTGCATTAATAAAAGGTTGACTATATTTGGAAAGGTACTTTAAACATATAAATTAGCTATCCGATTAATTGATTCAAATCATCAGATTTGGAGATATATACTGTACATATCACTATTATTAAGATAAAAACTCAATTCAGCACAGTATAATACCACAACTGAAGCTGAAATTAGAAACTTAAAAAGATGAACTCTACTAAAATCTACTTATACAAACTTTAGTTCTAAATTCTAATAAAAAAAAAGATTAATAAAATTAGACTTCAAATATTAAAATAATATATAATTTTAAATATATTTAATAGTTCTGTGGATGAATATTTAAATTTCTTGTATAGATCATAAGCAAGTACATGAATACGTGCCTTGTATATACACAATGCGTAAACATGCAGATAATAATCTTGCTAAAAGGATCCAGTAAGTTTATAATAGGGTCGTTGGTTACATCATTGAGTAGGCAACCTTTGTTCTTTTTCTTTGTACACCTCTGTGATGCAAAAGAATATTTTATAAAAAAAATAGTATATGAAAGTCTGCAGATGAAGAATAAGAATATATATTTGTAGTATCTTAAAATACAAAAATGCCCAAGTAATAATTCAAGTAAAGCGTTAAAAATTACTTATGTTAATGTTTTGTAAATATTGATATTGTTCTCAGATTCGATAGAGAAATAAAAAAAAAAAAAAAGTTAGCCCAAAATTCATATTAAATAAAATAAAATAAAAAGAATTAAATAAAATAAATATAACTCAAGAAAGTCCAATATTTGAAGTTTATAAATAGCTATTTTTTCTCCATATTTCAAACCGTGAACTTGTTTAACCTAACCAATAGAATGCCGATATCATCAATGTTAAATCAACATATTATTAAAACCAAAGAAAAGCTTAATAAATGGAATTATAAATTTTACTGTAAGATATGTATCGAAGAGTTGGGTGAGAATGAAGGAAAAAAATTTTTTTTTCCTAACAAAACCGATAGGATAGTTCAGCACCTTATAAAATATAAATATTTTATTGAAAAAATGACACCAGAGCAGAGAGAAGAAATTTTCAAATTACCTAATAACCAAAAAAAACAGCCAAGTAAGAATATAACATTTATTTAATAAGCTTTGTTCAATGTTTTATATTGCAATAAAGGTGTAAAATCTTATTGATAATTTACTTTTTTTTTTTTTTTTAGTTCCCTCTAGCAACATTACAACTACATCTCTCCAACGGCCCCAAAAAATTACACGAACCTCTACATATGGACCCATTGACGACCATATTGCTAAAAAGTTAACTCAGCAAGATATTGAAAAATTCAAAATTCTTTTATTAAGACTAACAGTATCATGCAGATGGGCCTTTCATTGGGTCAATAAGCCAGAGGCTAAAGAGCTCTTTGAATTTTTAAACCCTCACCTTAAACTTCTAGACCATCAGGCTCTTAGCAGAAAAATTTTGGAGGCTGCTGTTGCTGAAGAGGATAATACAATGAATGATGCACTTAGTAAAGATAAAATAGGTGTTACTTTGATATTTGATAGGTGGACTAATATAAAAAATGAACAACTATTAGGAGTAATGATTATTACCTCTGGGGAAAGACCTTATGTGTGAAAAGCGGCAGACATTAGTTTGGAAAAAGAAACACATGTTGAAGTTATAGATAAAACCAATACAATAATTAATGAACTAAAAAATATGGACATAGGAGTTTCTGCTGTGGTCACAGACAGCACCAGACCATACGCGGCATCAAGGTATTATCTGTATGCCCTTACAACTTCTAATTAAATAAGTTAAAACTTTCATTTTGATTTCATTTATCTTTGCCTTAATAAATTTGTTAGACGAAGACTTAGACTTGTTTATAGAAATATCGTATTTCTACCATGTTATATGCACCAGCTAAACTTGTGAGTAGGAGAAGTATTCAAAGAATCAACAGATCTAAAAATTATAATGGACCAAGCGATTAAATTAGCTACTTACTTTAAAAATACAAGAAACAAATATTTCATCGCCAAATTATAAGATCAGCAGAAAACTACTTATCAAAAGTATTATGGAATAGCTATTCCAGGAGAGACTCGCTGGAATAGCTACTATTTAGTAGTAACTAGTCTCTTGTGAACTAAACAAGCATTGCAGGCAAGTGAATGATTAGCACTTTAACATTCTATAAAAATCAAAAAGATACTTTTAAAAAAATACCTTAAAAAGTTTTAATTTTTATTTTAGATTCTTGCGATCAATTATCAACCACCACATGCTCAAAGTCGACGAAGAACTGGAGATGGCTTGATTTATTGGGATATCTTTGATATTATCACTCTGGATTTGTTTTGGTTGAGTTTAATGGTAATTGCAGAAATTTTGTATCTATATTGCAAAATATTAAATATTTTGCAATCCAATAATGCAAGATTAATATATGTTATACATGGTCTTGCATATTTGGTTTAATTTTGGAGCAATTATACAAACCTACAGCTTGCTGAAAAAATTTTAAATAGGTTAAACAAAAGATAGAATAATTGGGAACAACCTCTTTTAATTTTGGTTTGTTTATTGTATTCCAAATATCAGATGACTTACTTTAAAAACAAATTAATTATCAATTATTCGAAATTAGGCAAATACCTAATTTATTACTATAAGGCTTGGTCGGGTAAAGAACCCACATGCATTCTACGTAAATTTAATGATTTTTCTATGGGAGTTTACCCATTTGACGATGACACTTATAATCATTTTGGTGATATTTGAAAGTATTGGAGTTATATAAAGGATTCGACAGCTGAATTAGGATTAGTTGCTTGTCGGTTATATAGAATTTGTGTCAATGCAGCTGCAGTTGAACGTCTTTGGAGCTGCATGGGCTTTTTATAAACAAATAGAAGAAATAGATTAGCAGTAAATATTTTTAATTAGATTGTATTAATATTTCTATATCTTAATTTTTTTTTTTTTTTTTTAGTTATTAAAAGCTCTTAATATGAGCAAATTAAGGGCAATTATTTCATGGGAACATTGCAAGAGTCAAACTCTGGTGAATTGTTTTTACCTAATTTTTATTTAAAAGAAAGTATTAATATCCAAGAAAACGTAGAGTATAAAAAACATGAATTAGGTGAAGAGCCTTATGAAGTTAGACCAGAGCCCGAAGAATTTGTAGATCTTACCATGAATAAAAACTCTGATAATGAGTCATTAGATTCTAATTCCTTAAAAGAAAGTTTTGGTGAATTTTTGGATGTGTGGGTAGAAATATCAGCAGAAGAGGTTGAGGAAGTTAGTGATATGGATGATACAAACAAAGATGATTACAGGATGCCTTCTAAAGTTGAAGATATCGTTCATCTAGCCATAGATCCTGCTGCTAAATGGGATTTAGAATCGCTTTTTACTGAGTTACAATTACCTTGATTGTATTCCAGGTTGCCAGTGTGTAAAATATTCTAGCAATGTACAATAATATTATTTCTTCCTTTTTTTTTTTCCAAAAATTAAAGTAGAATACTCTAACCTTTATAACTTTCCATATTATTCTATACAAAATTCCTGTTATATTATATACTTAGATAGCTAAAATCAATAAATTTACTACATATATGGGGTTAAATTATAGATTAAATAAATTACATTTTTATATAAAATTAAGACATTAAGACACACCTTGCATTCTTTTTTAAACGAAGTTCAAAATTTTCTGAATCACGTATAAAAGATTGATAAGTTAATTTAAATAAATTTATTTAAAACCTAATTGAAAGTTTATTACCTAAATTATACATACTAAAATTGCTTTCGGCAAATTTATTAAGTTGAAGGTGTATAAGTAGAAAAACCAGAACATTCAAAACCATATAACCCTAAAAGTAAAGTCTGAGTCGTGATCAGGTTATGCTAAATAAATGTTCTTAAGATCAGACAGTAATTAGAAGTAAAACAAGATCAGATAGTAAAACAGTAATCTGCACAAATTAGATCTAAAGCATATAATTCTTACTTACTAAAAATAGTGTGCTGTTACTTGATATACATCATATAAGTCTGATGCCTATTATGTTCTTGGACGTGGACATGGACAGTCCAGTCCGTGTCCATGTCCGGTCTATGTGCCAATATTACCAAATATGTTCACGGCTGCAAGATTCTTTGACACAAACATGGATGTTCGTTCCGGTCCGTGTCCACGTCTGTGTCTGGTCTGAGTGACAACACTGCTCTAAATATTATAAAACTTTTTTTGCGATTTTAAAAAAGTATATCAAAATCACACAAGAAAAGGTGAAACTATATGTAAATGGATATGCCTCTTGTGCTATAAATATCTCTATAAAGAAAAAACTGATATAATATCTGTAGTGTCTTTGAGTTCTTGGTAGTATATTCAAATCGACTTAGTCAACTTTCATAATTTTGCTAAAGAGAATAAGAATTTTTCATAGCTGCTTACTTGTCTGTATGTTTTTTAAATTTCTTGTCATAGTTCTGATGAAAAATAAGGAAGCAGGAACAGTTATGGCACACCTTCTTAAAAATGTTTTTAAAATCCTTGGGCTCCTGCATGATAATAGTAAAAAATTTGTTGTAAATATGATTATACAAATTTGCAGACCTATAAACATTAAAGTTAGATACGGTTACCTCTAGCACTTATAGTCACAAGATCAAATCAAGTAGCTTAAGGCTGTGGTTTTACTAAATTACTTTGGATCAAAACAATTAATTGCAAAGAAAAGACTAAATTAATATAATTAACATATTTATTATATTGTATAATTCGACAGTTCATACAATATAACAAATGCTAAAAATGAATATTGTTGTTTAACTAAATTATCTGATAAGCATTGTGAAACTGTAGTATAGCAATGATTACTCAAATTGTTATAATATATTAAACTGTTTAATCATTATTACTAAACCAAATAAGGGTGGTGACAGATATTATGTAATATCTTTTTACTATAGAGGTACCCCCTCCCCCACACAAGTCAACTCTGATTGGCTGATTTAAAAATAGTTATAATATATTATATATATAATTATATTACTATTATATATATATATATATAAACTTGAATAACTTTTGATTCACTAGACCGATTTGGATAATTTAACCACCAAAATGATCCTTAGGATGACAGCTTTCTAATGGATCCAAAATCATCCAATTCTGATTACGGGATCCTGAGATCAGAAGTATTTACTATATAGTAAATATAATACAAAATACTTCTGATCTCAGGATTCTGTAATCAGAATTGGATGATTTTGAATCTATTAGAAAGCTGTAATCTTAAGGATTATTTTGGTGGTTAAATTATCCAAATTAGTCTAGTGCACCAAAAGTTATTCAAGTTTATATTATTATATATATAATAGTAATATAATTAGAGACTTGTTATTGCCACTTTCTATTTTTGTTAATGCTACCTCTCAGATATCAAAAAGTGCTCCAGAAGAGGTATTTTTATTAAGTATAGTCTGCCAATATACCAAATTAGAAATTGGCATTCTAGAATGATCTACACATCGATTCCTATATCTGATTGGCTTTTATAATTTCCATATTTGCTTTTTTTGTACTCTAGTAAAAAAAAAATTTTCTTGCGAATTATTGTTACTAAAAACTTTTTAATAAGTAGAATAGAATATCTAGTTTAAATAATTTCAATTAATCCCTCACAATAAGCCCTCTTTGATAAAAGTAAATGAGAACCTAAAACCAGTAAAAAATAAGAGACAAAGTTATTACTTCTGTGCAAATTTGGCTCAAGATCACTTTTTGGATGCTAAGTTTAACTAACGGGTATATGATTTACTTGTTAATATAGTTCATAATGTTTTGTGAAGAGTTATTTTACAATAAATACTAATAGGCATATAATGGTGTATATATTTGTTTGTTTTTGTTTGTTTTTTTTTAAGATGATCTCTTTGGCCAGGAACGTTTTATTAGATAGGTTTGTTTTTCAATTACAGTAAGGATATATATAGCCACACGTGCACCTTTTGAGTGCCTAATTTAAGTAGTCTGCCTGAAGGTTCTACACTATCTGCCATACCTGTACCCCAACTAGGGGGTACTCATTTAAACCCTCTGACTATAACCTACTTCCAAACCAATAGATACTACCTAACCTGAGATGTAGCTTACTATACACAAGTAGTTCGCTATTGCTCAATCTGATTTTGCAACTACCTTAGGACTTACTAACCCCAAAGAGACTAATCTATCCACGAGATAAACCTAACAGAGTGGTCCACGTCCCACACATATATTTACCTGTATATTCAATAATTTCTTCCCAATTAGTATATATTGTCTGCCACCATTGTGTTCGTATCTCATGCTACCTTTTGGGGTGCTTCTGTAACACAATCTGTATCTCAAGTACAAACCTTCCTAATTAGTCTTCCATTACGTACTCCTGCCTTTGTATTGGTTCACAACAACCTCAGTACCCACATTCGAGCCGTCTCTTTACCCAGATTCTTTATTAGTCCATCCCTTACTTCCAGCCGGCAACCCGGATGGGTTGGCCTGCCCAGGCTCTAGGTACCTGAAGGACGCCCTCCCCTTGGTCCATACTTTCAGAGCATATAGCCTTTTCCTCTGGTGTGTTTAAACCAGCGGTTCGGCTAGTATGTCCCTCCACTAAAGGATCTAATCGCTCGGTTCTCCAATCTCGGGCACCGGTTCAAATTCAGCCTTCATGTAGTACCGTCAAAGATCACTGCTACCTCCAAACTTGGGACTTCCCAAACGGGCTTTGATCTCTGGTCCTATGACCTGTGCCAAACAAAGCCCACAGATTACAGCCTTCTAGAATTACCTCAACGGTGCCACCAAACACCGTCTCGACAAATTCTTCATGGGCTAACCTTAGTAAAGATCGTTGCAGACTTTTTCCCATATTACAAAAGCATTGTCCCTGAGATTTAAACATGGGACCTAGCTATTACATTTAGTAAAAGTGACAACTAGACTACTTCACTAAGTCGCCACATCTCACAGTATATATATTTGTATATAGATAGACATTCCAGTATGTATTTGGATTTTTAGAAAAAATTTATTAAATTTGCAAGTTCACTGTACTAACTTTTAAAATTTTAAGATAACTAGATCAAATAAGTGCTATCAAGGGGAAAGACCAACTTTAATCTATTTAATAAATAGATTGAAGTTGTCTTTTTCTCTTGGCAGCACTCTAAAAGAAGTGCAATTTATAAAGTATTCTCAAGTGCTCAAGAATAGATAAAATGTGTTAAAAATGTTAGATGCTAATTTTAATTAGCTGAAACTATTTAATTGATTGAATAGGCTTGTTATTAAAATAAATAAGGTATAGAAACCAGTGTATAAAATCTAAAACCAATTTTTGCATTTTTTTGTACACATTTTAAAAATTTTTATATAAAATTGTATACAACTTATATATTAATTAAAAAAATTATACATATTAAAATAAAGTTGTGCACATGTGCACACTGTGTACATGAATTTTATACACTGATGGAAATATAGTTCATTGTATTAAAGAAAAAAATTCAAATAATAAATGTTTAAGTTTAATTATTCTGGTCAAAAACAGATTGCTCTAAATTATCTTCTTCTTTTTTTGTACTAGCTTATCGAGACTTATAGCTATTAGAGTAAATAGAGTTGTTCAAACAATTTATACTTTTTGCCATAATACTAATATAATGGGCCAAAAGAAAACTATTTAAAATAGTATAATGAGTAACTTTTTGAGGCAATTGCTAATTTTATTTATAATTGCGAGAGTTATAAACAAATGTAAGAGAAAGAATACACAAAAATTTTCCTCTATCTTTGTATTACTATTGCAGATTTTTTTTTAAATAAAAACTTTATTTTATAACTATATCAGCAAATTTAATAGGGGGTAAGATTGCACAATAATTTA